TTTAATGATTTACTTTTTCTTCAACTCTCTATACACTTTTTCTTCTCTCTAACAAGCCTACGTACATTTATTTTACACTGTGACCCTAAGACATAAAAGAGCTCTTTTATGTCTGAATATATCCTTATTGAATTATCTGTAATTATTTACTGTCTTGAAGAGCTTTTAAAATGGTAAGCAGCTTGGTTTAAGCTGCTCTGGATGCTGGCTTACCTCTCTCCACTTTTAAAATGATAGAGGTACCATTATTGCAGCTCTGGGGCTGCCAGGTAGGAGCTGCACTCAGCACTTTAACTCTGAAAATCAGTGTGCAGCACATAAACCCTTTTTATCTGAGTAATAGTTAAATCTGCCATGTAGAGCACTGCACAGGCTAAAAATATCTCTGCATATGTGGAGGGAATCTGCGATACTCTCCTGCCTGTGTAAACCTAGTAGACCTAATCCTGCTACCTGCCCAGGTGGGGAGCTCTGAGCTTTGGTCATGGTCTCAGCTACTTTCCTCCTGACCCCAAGTGGGCACAAAAACATCAGGGCCCCCAAATGCCATTCAAATGCTTCATAGCTAAAGTTCATGCTCTCAGCACAGCCCGGGAGACCACTATGGCTGGATCAGGAAAACCTCTCTTAAAGGAACCATTCCTCTGCTTGCTTCTAGCAAGCAGAGCCCACCCAAGAAAATAGTGCAACCAAACTATGATAAACTCTGTTCTTTTGTGTCTCAGATTACTTTTTAAACATTCTCAGGTTTTTATGTGGATGTAGTTACCCACATTGGTGTGCCAATCTTTTGGAGGTAGGCCCCTTGTTGGTTCCTGGACACCTGGCTAGCTTAGACACAAAATTATCACACAGAAACTGTATTAATTATATCACTGCTTGGGTTCTTATCTTTAGCTTCATATTGGCTAACTCATATTAATTTAACCCATTTGTATTAATCTGTATATCGTCACATGGCTGTGACTTATCAGGTAAAATTCCCATTATCTATCTTGGGTGGCTCTATGGCTTCTCTCTGACTCTAATCTTTGTCTCAGCATACAGCCTAGCTTTTCCTGCCTAGTTCTCTTCTGCCTTTGCCATAGGCTCAAAGCAGTTCTTAGACCAAAGGATGTACCACACCAATATATAATACTACAAGTAACCCTTTATATAATACATAGGAAGGAATAATATAAGTTTAAAAACTAACATGGTGGTGTTACATGCCTTTAATCCCAACACTTGTTAGTTAAGACCTAGTCAATATCAGGGGGAAATCTCTGCTTGGTTTTACCATTACAGCTTAATGCTGTGACCTCTTAGGGTCTTCTTAAGGTCCTCTCAGGAACTCTAACTTTGTCCCACATTCGCTGGTACCTAACATCCTTTACAATGCTAGAGAGAGGCTCCAATGTTTCTTCAATCTTTCCTCTTCTGTGCTTGCATAGTCAGAATACATATATAAATCTTTCAATTTGTATTTCAACCCAGGGTTGGAGCTTGGGTCCTGTGAAATAGAACTGTAACATCTTCTCTGAGATGACATGGGAAAATGGCTCCTTAGATAGTTGTTTTTCAGGAACAGGAACCTGCTTCAGTGGTATTCTGACTTTTACCATTCACAGGAACATTCATTTCAAGTGTTTGAAATCTATGTTTGTTATGGTATTTCCTTCATGTCAAACTTCTTTTTCTCTTAATATAGAGCAGATGGTTTCTCTTTAACAGTTATAGCTAATTTCTCAGCATTTGCTTTGTCTTCTGTTCTAAGCTACATTGAATCTTTTACTTCATCAAAAGCATTTTTTCTTTCTTTTTTTTCTTAACCTTTACCAGTGTCAATAGAAACAAGAACATCTGTTCAAGTATGTTCATAGAAGCATTATTTAAAATAGCCAGAACTTGGAAAAACCCTAGATACCCCTCAACAGAAGACTGGGTAAAGAATATGTGGCATATTTACACATTAGAATACTAGTCAGAGGTAAAAAATAATATCTTGAATTTTGCATACAAATGAATGGGACTAGAAAACATCATTATGAGTGAGGTAACCATAAAGTGAGACCCATAAAGATGAATATGGTATGTACTCATTCAAAAGTGGAATTCTAGCTATAAACAAAGGATATTGAGCCTATATGTCATGATCCTAGATAAGCTCAGTAATCATGTGGACCCTAAGAAAAAATATATAGATCCACATGAAAAGTTGGAATAGACAAGATCACCTGAAAATTTTGGGAATATAGAATTGAGGGAAAAAGGAGGGTGGAAGTGGAGAAGGAGGAGAGAAGGGAAGGGTGAGTGGAACTTGTGAAATTGGGATAGTCAAAATGGAGGAAGGGCAAAGATGAGAGCAAGAAAATAGATATCTTGATTGAGGGAGCCATTACAGAGTAAGTATGAAACCTGACTCTAGAGAAAATCCTAGGAATCAACAAGGATGACCCCAGTTAAAACACTAGGCAACAAAGGAGAGAGTGCCCAAACTGGCCTTGCCTGTTATCAGAATGATGAATATTTTAAATATCACCATAAAACCTTCATTCAGCAAATGATCAAAACAGAGGCAGAGCCTTGCATCAGAGCACTGAACTGAGCTCTCAAAGTCTAGTTGAAGAGTGGAAGGAATGAGAATACGAGCCAAAGTGATCAAGACCATGATGGGTACACACACTGAAACAGTCTACCTGAGTTTATAGGAGCTCACCAAAACCAGTTGGACTGGGAAGGAACAACCATAGGACCAAACTAGTCCCTCTGAATGTGGTTGACAGCTGCATGGATAAAGCAGACTGAGAGGCCAGTGGCAGGCACCCTGCATTTATCCCTACTGCTTGTACTGGCTTTTTGGAAACCCATTCTTTTTGGATGGATACCTTGCTCAGCCTAAGTATAATAGGGAGGGCCTTAGACCTTCCCTAAATCAATGTGCATTACCCTCTCTGAGGACTGCATGGGGGCTGAGGTAGGGAAGTTTAGTGGAGGGAATGGGAAGAAGGGAGGGAGTGGGAACTGATGAAATAAAATGAAAAAAATAGCTTGTTTTCTTTTTTAAAAAATAGAAAACAAAAAAAGAAAAAAGGTAAAATATAAATACCTATATTCCAAAATCTGAATACTTTACTGCCCAGAAATTTCTTTTGGAATAAATATTAACATTTATAGCTTTTAAATACAGTCTTTACCAAGTTCTCCAAAAATTATATTTGATTTCTTAGGAAGCATGCAACTGGAGTACCTCAATCCCATCTTCATTTAGAGTCTCTGGTGCCCTCTTAATGACTCTATAATGAGCCTCACTGTTTGCAATGATTTTTTTCTATATGTTTCTATACTAAGACAGAAATCTAGAAATTATTTTGCACAACTCATTTCTCTTAAAATTATTAGTACATTCACACTTCACTAGCTACCTCTTACTGCTTGCTGTCACCATATTGGAAAGCCTAAGTTCAGTATTCACAGAGAAAATTTGCTACAATAAAGAGGAGACTGATTTTAATTAAGCATAGATAACACCAGGTGTTGCCTCATGTTGAAATATATGATCCTATGTGACTGTGTCAGTTTGGTTGCTCAATAGCTCCTTTATTATGCAAGTTAATAAAAGAATATAATTGAGAGTATTATTTAATTTCTGACCTTGGACTTATTTATTTAAAAAAAGTCATTACTCACATCAAGAGCTTAGTCAATTGTCAAAACATATGTTATTGACTATAGAGATTTATTTAGTATCATACTCATCATGTTAAATATGTTATCACCATTTTATCTTAGACCATCATTGCCTCTCTTTCTTTCTTTTATTATAGCCTGGGATCTGGCCTGACTCAATTACCTATTCTGATTTCATCTTCCCAGTTTTGACACTTGTTGCAGTTCTCTTGACATTTCTATTGTTGTCATTGGTATTTCTCCAGTATCCTATGTTCTTTCTTGTGACTCTATACTGATTGATTTGTCTCCAATCAAAGAATTTTCTTATTTTACTCTTTAATTTCAGAACCAAAGCCGTGTCTTTAGTGAAGCATTCCCTGAATATTTAGTCTGAAAGGCCACAATATTGACCTTTTATTCTTAGAATTCTTTCACAATTTTGCTAATTATAATGTTCATCTGAAATTACTTAGAAATTTATTATTTTAGCTATAGTTATACACATTTTTCTCCTTCTCTTAGAGGAATTTGTAGAATAGCAACCTGCCATGCTCATTGCTATGACTTAGGGTCCTATCTATGTACTTGATTAAAAATTAAAACTCTCAAACCTTTTTCAGGGATGGTAAAGGTTCTTCCTATCTGTACTACCGTATGATTCCATAGATTTTTACTGCTATTGAGAAGGATGAATAATTTTAAATTTTCATTTTGTATTGAATAAGATAAAAAGATATTAAGCTAATGGTAGATTCATAAGTAATTTATATACAATCAGTGGTAGAGAAGAATTATATTTCTCAAATACACAGTTATATACATAGTGCCTTTTTTTACATGCCTACCAAGCCTTGTTGTATAGTACAGGAGTGTCACACTCAGAATCTTCATTTTTTTTAGCTTCTTGTTTTTGAGATTGCAGGGTGATTTCTACAATGCTTGGAAATTTATAAAAATGAATGCAAATATTTAAATAACAAATAAGTAGGAAAAACAAAAAAGACCTTGATACATTTTTCCATTTCAATTTGGAATGAAAAAAATAAAAATATTTGCAACTGTAGTTATGGCTATATTTGACTCAATTGTACTGTTCTTGTTTTACTGGAATATATCCAAAGTAAGGTCTATACTAATCAAATAACACATGTACTGTAATGTCATAGTATATTTTCCATGAGAATTTCTGAAGGTCCTTCACCTGTTCATATCCTCACCTCATATCTTTTAGATTATGTATGAAAAGCATATTCTGTAAATATTTATTTATAAACAATGATTTTGCAAATTCTACCTCTTGCAGAATATAAATAGGCAATAGAAAGAATACTGACAGCTTACAAAGCAAAATGAAGCTCTTCCTGTTGCTTTCACTCATTGGGTTCTGCTGGGCTCAGTATAACCCACATACTCAGTACGGACGGACTTCTATCGTCCACCTGTTCGAGTGGCGCTGGGTTGATATCGCCAAGGAATGTGAGCGATATTTAGCTCCTAAAGGATTTGGAGGGGTACAGGTAAAACTGATTCATATTTTAAATGGAGACTTTGCTGTGTTGATATAAAACTGCATTCTCATCAGTTCAGTGTGTCTGGAAGACAAGCCAACAACACACATGAATTTCTTGGGTAATGAATAGGTTTGCTGATGATGGCATTATACTCTGGTGTAGGATAACATCAGGATTTCTGCAATGTCCTGCCCATCTTTTCAGGTGGTTGTGAAGTGACAGAACTTCATGTTCACAAGATGAAATGTGACACTAGACCATTGATATGTTTCTAGAGAATTTAGTTCTTTAAGCTTAGTACAAACTTAGTAAGTTATTGTTCAAAATTAATTCTAACTATTTTATTTGCAGGTCTCTCCACCAAGTGAAAATATTGTGATTTATAGACCACCAAGGCCTTGGTGGGAAAGATACCAACCAGTTAGCTACAAAATTTGCACAAGGTCTGGAAACGAAGAAGAATTCAGAGACATGGTGAAGAGGTGCAACAATGTTGGTGTAAGTGATGATACATATTCTTTAAAGCCTTACATAGAATTTTAGAAATTAAAAATTCCTATTGGTGAAATATTTTCATCCTTTCTTCTTTAATTTTCTTTGAGCAGAAAATTTCATAAATTGGGAGTGGTGAATGGAAAGATGAAATGGAAGGGGAAAGTGATATACTGTAATTAGAATATATGAAAATAAAGTAAAATAACAAAAATTGCTTTTATTTTCACTCTTTGTTAAAATGCCTGATTGTTATATAATCACACTTTGAGAACCCTTGCACATCTACAATGTAAAAATAAGAGGTGATAAATTGAACCTTACACTTTTAGCCTTTTAACTATATTCTCCATAATATTCCCTTTTGCTTAGGCACTGATTGGATTTGCTTGCTATGGTCATTTTTATGTGATTTTGTTTTCTTCCCTCAATTTATGGACTTTCTTTGAACTTATTGCTTTAGTTGAAAATATCTATTTTCTCTATATTATTAAGAGAAATGCTTATCTTTTTGTCCCTAAGTTACTACCAGCTTCTTTATCCATATATCCTTGTAAACTTCCACAATCAATGCTTTTTCTTGTTTATAATCATTCCAGCTTCATCAGAAGTTTATGTTTTGTTTTGTTTGTTGTTATGGTAGTTTCTTATACAGATTTCTATACATGACTACTTTACATGTTTCTGGATAACCACTGGTCCAGAAGTTAAGATTAAAGTCATTTATATGATTTTTCTTTACACCCACAATTCTTGGGTTTTATCACCATCAGTCTTGTTAATGGTAAATAAATGGTTTAACCTAAAAATGAAGAATCATCTATGTACTTTCTGGTCTTCAGATACAAGGTGGAAATAGTACAATCCATGGCATTTCACCTCAAGAACCAATAAAACTGCAAAGGCAATCCCCTCTCGTTTTTATGCTGTGTTTTACTTCCTCAAAAATTGATCTTAACTTTAAACTATGACTGTTCATTTTTATCTCTACTTAATAGTTTTAAATACTTTACCAATATGAAGGCTATTGTTGAATTTTATTTCACATTAGTTTCATATCACCCTTACTTTTCCTTTCTATAAAGACTATATAAGGAATCCATTAGAAGATATATTTTGGAGATTTGTTGGTAGGTTGTGAGTTTCCATTGAAACTTTAGATTCCTTAAGATGACTGCAGTATGCAATTTCCTTTTTCAGGTCCGTATTTATGTGGATGCAGTTATTAATCACATGTGTAGTGCAGGCGGTGGTGCAGGGACAAACAGTACCTGTGGAAGTTACTACAATGCCCATAACAGAGAATTCCCAGCAGTTCCATACTCTGCTTGGGATTTTAATGATGGTAAATGTGACCAAGACGTTTATGACTACAAAAATGCTAATGAGGTAATGAACGAAATGATGAGGGATTCCCTTCTCTATGCCGTAAATATTATTGTTTAAAAAGGAACTGTTTTTGGCCTATAGCAGAGCTATAGGGGAACAGAGCTAATCAGGGAAAACTAAATGGAATCCTGGGAGGAAGAAGGAAAAGTCATGGAGAAGCCAGGTAGCCCCGCTGGAGACAGACTCCCGAACGTTACCAACTAAGCCACTGCCACGTGGTAATTCACAGATTAATGGACATGGGTTAAATTTATATGTAAGTGTTACCCAATAAGAAGCTGGAGCTAATGGGCCAAGAAATGATTTAATTAATATAGTTTGTGTGTGGTTATTTCAGGGCAGAACAGCTGGGAATCAAAAAGTGGCTCTCCATTCAACAGAGAAATATTGGTGATAATAAAGAAGTATCTAGTGCATATCAGGAATTTATGGATAACCATTGGGCATACCATTCAGATTCTGCAGGAAAACATTTTACTAAGACAGAATGCTTGACAAATTGAAATTAAAAAGTGTGCTGGATTTTGTTTCATTGTTTTGTAAGGATACACACAAAATCAATGACAAATGGAGGCATGCTCTATAGTGACTTTGTGTGGATAATGCAAAAGCATGTTTAATCAGTTATATAAATATTATTGTATGGAAATATTATTAAAAATAAAAATTAGTATTGTAAAACAATGTAGGGATAAGTCCCGCCCCTTAGGGGGCGTGTTTGCCTCGGGCTAAAGTTTGCCTATAAATTTGGCAAGCAAGCTCCCAGCCGCTGCTTCTGCTTTCCTGGTTTCTGCGGGAACGGTGGTTCTGTAAGTCTATTTCTAAATACATATATTTACAATCTGTCTGCATTCGTTTAAGCCGTTACAAAGCAATTTCAAATATTAGAGTATATATTCAGGTTTGGAGCAGTGCACTTATTTAACATGTGGAAGTTCCTGGAATGGATTCTGGGAACTACATAAAATAAAAAAGAGTAAAAGGTAGAAACCTGAAGGATAAATAGAGGGAAAGGAGATCAGAGGGATAAAGAGAAGAGAGTGACAGAGACAGACAGACAGAAAGAGAATTAACCACCTAAAATTCCCACCTAGTTTATTTTATACTTTTGTATCTACAACAGAAAATATTTTAAAGTCTGTATCCAAATTAAAGCATCAATACTTCTCATGTTCCAAGTAAAGATAATATGAAAAAATCTACTTGAAAATGTGTGAGTGACTGAATGATGAAATGGATTCTTAGACCAGATATGACTTTATATAAATTTATCACTTTTGTTTCAATAGGCCAGAAATTGTCTTCCGTCTGGCTTTCTGAACCTTGCACTTGATAAAAGTTATGTTCGTGGAAAGGTGGCTGACTAGATGAACCGTCTCATCGACATTGGTGTAGCAGGGTTCAGACTTCATGATGCTAATCACATGTGGCCTGGAGACATAAAGGCAATTTTGGACAAACTGCATAACCTAAACACACAATGGTTCTCTTCAGGAAGCAGGCCTTTCATTTTTCAAGCGCTAAAACAATACATATGTTCTTTCTAAAAATGTAATACTCTCATGTAATTGTAATGGTTCACTCTTCCCTTTCCTCTCTCTAAACTCTTTTATATATCCATCCATACTCACTTTCAAATTTGTAACCTGTCAAAAAAAATTTGTAACCTGTCTTTTGAATTACTGTTATTATACACACAGGCAGTCAGACACACACACAGACACATAGACACACACACACACACACACACTATATATATATATATATATATAGGCACATATATCAACATATAAGTATATATGTGTATATCTCTATATCTATCTATCATCTATCTATCTATCTCTCTATCTATCTATCTATGTTCTTAAATATAATTGATATAATCCATATTGCTACAGATAAATTCATATCTTGGTACTAATCAACCAATTGATATTGTCTTCTCTGATTTTCATTCCCAGATTTCCTCAGTTGCCTATACTTCTCTCTTTATTTCTTTGTATATTGTTGAGTCCCTGTGGATTTTTTCTGAAATATCATCATTTTGTAAACCAGATAGTAGAGAGGATATTTCATTAAGCATAAAATTAATAATGGAGGTTAATATTTCAATCATTTATATACTGTGGAATTTGAATGCTTAATAAAAGCATTATTCAGAAGTAACACACTTAAGTCTTTACCAAGGCAGCTTCAAAGTTAGTGTAAACTCTAATAATTCATTCTCTAAATTTACAAATACAATACCATGATACAAGACAGAGCAATCATAATCATTTTGTCCGAAGCCAATCTTTTTGAGCTATGTCTTATGTTATCAAGTTTGTAAGTGTTTAGAAAAACTGATCAAGCTTCCTGTGCAGCAATAATATCATCTGAAGTGTATTAGAGATAATGTATTTGTATCTCTGTTTCCTTGGAAACATTAATGAGTTCATAAATCTGATAATCACTTGACAGCAAGTATTCTATCGGTGTAGACTAAGGAATTTTACCCTATGTCAGCAATCCTTGGGATAAGAAGGGACCCTGTCATTTGATTTCTTTCAATGTGGTGACATATACTTTATGAAGAAATTAGAATGTTGATATACAGAAAAATTTAGGAATAAATATTATAAGGATTTCTCAATGTCATTACATTTAAACTATATGCTTAAATTTATAAAAAATTTCAAGTGACCCAATGTATTTTCTAGGTCAACGATCTGGGTAAGGAGTCAATGTACTTTGGAATTGGACGTGTGACAGAATACAAATATGGGACAAACCTAAGCACAGTTATCCGCAAGTGGAATGGACAGAAGATGGCCTATTTAAAGTAAATATAGATAATTTTTTAAATTTGATCTATCATAGATTATTTTTTCTATTTGACATCAATGAGTTATATCTTCAATTATTCTCATTTAAAAATTATGAAGTTGTTGATTATTAAGCTTAATGTTTCTCAAAACCACCTAATTATTTTTTCCACTTGGAATGTCAATCACCATGTATTACTGAAAATCCAAAGTATCACTTAGTTATTTTTGTCTGTTTGTAATAAATTCATTAGATTCCAAGAACGTTTTTCTATAATCTATTAAAGCTATATTATTATTACAAAAATAATTATATCCATAAATGATAGTCACAATGTGGTCAGCTATGAAATATTTAAGTGTTATATCAAAGAATGAATTGAAATTTTTTCAGTTTGTATTGTGATAGTATGGTAGCTTTCTAATCTATGGAATATCAAATGAATGTTTCAGTTCTCAAATCCAAAAAATTATAATTCAACAAAATTTAAAGGGAACAAACATTTAAAGAAAAAAAATATATTGTAATATCCAAATGAAGATATATATCATCATAATAAATGATATTGCATGTGTATTTATATGCATATAATATGAAAGGTAGGCATCTTATGAAATTTTTATTTATTTGCATAACTGAGTATGAAATATGAAAACTTAATCAAAATATTTTAAAAGAATAATACTTTTTTTAAATGTAGGAACTGGGGAGAAGATTGGGGTTTTGTGCCTACTGACAGAGCCCTTGTGTTTGTGGACAATCATGAGACTCAGCGAGGACTAGGTGGTGGAGGAGCATCCATTCTGACCTTCTGGGATGCTAGGTGGGAGAACATTCTTTGCTGTTGTGAAACTTGCTTTTAATGATGGCATTGTGTTATGCTTTAATACCATTTTTAAACTTTCAGAATGTACAAAATGGCAGTTGGCTTTATGTTGGCTCATCCTTATGGGTTCACACGAGTAATGTCAAGTTACCGTTGGGCAAGAAATTTCCAGAATGGAAAAGTAAGTATTGAAGTTCTTCAAAGCATAATTTAATCCTGAAAAGTAAGAGGTTCTGTTCTGTTTTAATTTCACATTAAATTATAGTGTGTGATACTTATATTTTTTCCTGTGAAACAAGAAGGTAGCTGAATTGAGGGAATTTAGGATTATAATAGATAGAAATTTCTGAAAATTACAGAAAATGCTTTACAATGGAGTCTATAAACAATACATAATAATAGAATTATAAGTGTTAATCACTAAGTTTTTGTGAAGTAAGGACATTGAAAATATACCTGCTCAGAAAAGCAATGATTTAAATAAGAGAAAACGCTAGAATGAAAACAGGCATTCCTGATAAAATCCAACAAAAAAAGGTAAGATGGGATAATGTCTGCTAACATTGATATTTTAAATTATTTCCTGTGAAATGAGAAGGTAGCTGATTTGAGGGAATTTAAAAATGATAATAGAAATTTCTGAAAATTACAGAACAATGATTTGCTACAGAGTCTGTAAATAATATGTATTTACAGAAGTATAAACAATATGAGTTGTTGATTAGGTGCCTAAGCAGAAACAATTTTAAAATTAATATAATATTTATAAATATATTACATACATTTTGTGTTGTTTGTTGGGTGCACAAGCTTAAACAATTTCAAAATTAATCTGGGAAATAAGACCATCTATGGAAATTTTTCTGTTTTAATACAGGAATGTAGACTAACAGAAAAAAAAGTCAAAATTAAAATAGAAATGTTTCTTCTTTAGACATCTGAAAAATAGTTTATCCTATTTTTTTTCCAAAATGAGTTTACCTCTGGTTTTATTGACATTTGTTCTATTCCCAACGAGCTTTCAGGCCTGGAATGAGACTTTTTTTTCAAAAATGTATTTACCATTCACCAATTATCAAATATGCATTTATACTTTGATAAGTTTAATAATGAAAGTCAGGATATTTTATAAACACGTTTTTCCAGAAAGTAGTAAGAAATGAACTATTATTAACTGAGAAAATGTTATATTTAAAGCCTTTTCATATATGTTCTTGAATTTTTAGAGTAGCTAAGAACTATGCCTTAGTTTTCTGGATAAACTGAGGCACATTCATGTTATGTATAATGATGGAAATTTCTCAGGGAGTTGTTCCCCAATGCTAGTGTTCCTGGCTCAAGTGTCTTGATGTTAGGTGACATTGAAGAGCTGTTAGTGGTATTGAAAAACTGTGTCTTTGATAGAAAGTGAGATGTTTAAGAATTGTTACTGTCAGTTTGAATTGAGTAGTAGAAAATATGAATTTGCAAGAAGTGAAGGGCTCAGTGAAATTCTGTAAAACATTGAAGGACTTAGATTAAAATTAGACACCTCAAAGAAAGAAGTAGCACAAGAGGTTTGGTTTGGGTTTGCTCTAGTGGAGAGAATTGGACGAACACAAGCATTCAAATGACCTGATTCTTTCAATAATTAAGGATGTGAATAACTGGATTGGGCCACCTAATAACAATGGAGTAACCAAGGAAGTGACCATTAATCCAGACATGACTTGTGGCAATGACTGGGTCTGTGAACATCGATGGCGTCAAATAAGGTGGGATTTTCTCAACAGATATTGTCTAATAAGAAAGTTATTTAACTTCTTTTTAAAATTGTTGAAGTTGAAGGGTACCAACATTTCACATGATATTGTACTTCTAGGAACATGGTTGCCTTCAGAAACGTAGTCAATGGTCAGCCTTTGTCAAACTGGTGGGATAATGGCAGCAACCAAGTAGCTTTTAGCAGAGGAAACAAAGGTTTCATTGTCTTTAACAATGATGACTGGTAAGTCATTATCACTTAAAGTGGGATTGTTTACTCCTATATGCTTAGATCTTTTCTTTTTCTGCTCATACATATCTTTTGTATGTGAATCTTTTAGATAATGCCTTTATGCCAAAAATATATTTCAGTGTTCAGAAGGAAAATAATACAAGCTACATACTTTATCCTTTCAATAAAATTTTGTATTTGAGATCATTTAACATAGCATGCAATGGCAGTCGCATAACTTCATATTTGTAAGATCATTTGACATATTTCACAAACATAAAATCATTAAATTATATATTATATTAGTACTGGAGTACTTTACCACTACATTTGAATATTACTTTTTATCCATAGATATATACAATGTTAAATGTTAATTTCTTTCTTTGTTTAATATATATATATATATATATATATATATATATATATAGATACACAAACACACACACACACACACACACACACACACACACACACATATATACCAGTATCTGGTCTATGAGTGTCTTCAAGAAGTTGCTGAGTGTTGATTTAAAAACTTTCGTTATTGTCCTTCCACTGTGGTTCTTTCATTTGAGTTTTACAATATGGTTCACTCATCTGTAGTGGTCTAACTCAGATACCAGGAGTGGAGACTAAAGTCTTTAATGCCAGCAGGCAGAGACACCCATATTGCCCTGTGTTTGAGGCAAGGTTGGTCTGCATAGTGAGCTCTAGGAAAGCCAAGGATATATAGAGAGACCCTGTCTCTCAGAAATCAAAACTAACAAACATACCAAAAATAATACTTACTCAAAGAATCTCTTTGAGAGTCATTGAAATATCTCAATACAAAATCAGATTCTTATCAGATTGAGTTTTTTTCACAAGTCATATTTTATTGTTTTAAAACAAAATAACTAAGGTACATAATTTTTTGAAAGAACACATGGCTGGTGGTTTAGGAACACCAGAATTACTTTATACAGTCAGTTTCCTAATACAAACTTTTATGTGTACAAAGAAATACTAGACAATGTTTAATTCTATAATAAATCCTTTATGGTGTCATGAAATCTAATAGCTTTGGGAGAAAATGATGCTGTTAACATTTTTTGAAGTCATCAGTTTAAATCCAGCAGAGCACAAACTTGAAAGAATGATGGTCCTCACGGGAGCCCTTTCTTACTGAGCATCTCTGGGTTCTCTGGCTTTCATTGTCTGGTAGCAGTCACCATAGCCCCCGAAACTAACAGACATTTATAATAATGTCTTTGGTCTAGAGAATTCTCTTTCTTCCCCATTCACAGTCTTGTTATTGGGATTTGCTTAATGATACTCTGAATCTTAGTGATCTATATCACAAGGTTGAGACATTTATTGTTTTATTGATAATGAATCTTCCTAGCACTTGAGTTCATTGAATTTAAGTTAAGTACTCCTTTTTTCAGGTCATTGTCAACAACATTACAGACTGGTCTTCCTGCCGGCACCTACTGTGATGTAATTTCTGGAGACAAGATTGATGGCAATTGCACCGGAAGTAAAGTCTATGTTGGCAATGATGGCAAAGCTCAATTTTTTATTAGTAACTCTGCTGAAGACCCATTTATTGCAATCCATGTTGAATCAAAATTGTAATAACCTTATTAAATACATATAAAGCATCAATTAATGTGTTTTTTTTATTGTGTGTGCCTAATTTTTTATTTTCTCTTCTTTTTATGATGTGTTCATGTGTAATATTTATATCTGAGCCGTGGAATGTATGTGGAATATTTGAACAAAGTGTGTCATGGCTTTGCCTCTTTCCTTTATCTCATGGACTGTAGTATCACACTTAAGTCAACAGGCTAACCACGAAAGCACATTTACATGCTGAGCAATGTTACTAGCTCAGATGTATCTTAAGTTAAGTTTCTTTCTTTTAGTCGAAACCCATAAACAATCAACTTCAATAGTCGGAAATCATAAACATCACATATATGAACTAAAAAATAATATCCAAGACTTACTATGAATTAGCAGAAAATCTATTTTTCCCAGGAAAACTCTCAGAACTTTGATACTTTCTGGAAAAACATTGCTAATGGTTATTAGTGTAATTTCTAACATGTACTTCTAGATATTGCATAAAAATTATTTTAATAAAAATTTATTCACAATTTAATCACTTATGAAAGATGCCTTTAGTCACTTGGAAATGCATCATTGCTTAATTTTATCTAGCTACCACTTTATTCAAATTTCTCGTATACATCGTTATTTCAAAAATTAATTTTCCTAATTCTAGAGTACACACTCAGTTACATAAAATGTATGGTGATCATATATCAAAATCCCATAATATTCACTTTTCATCTTCTACCTTCCCTTTTTCCCATGCACTTTAATTTTCCCATATCCATGTACACATCCGTTCAAGTCTTTTTGTTGATATTTGATACTTGAGCACAATGCCTTCGTGAATGAGAGTGGAAGGTTATTTTCTTGACAAAAACACATTGTCAGTGGTTATACCACTAAAGAATATGACTCCATATACCCATCAATGTCTAACAGCTAAGAAACCATAAAGTCTTGGGGCCTTACAATTATTTCTAATCCACAGAATTGGAAAAGAAGAATTCAAACTTTTGTTATTTGCAGATGGATGTCAACCTGTAGAAGAATTAAAATAGATCCATATCTATCACCATGCATAAAACTCAAGACCAAATGGATTAAAGACTTCAATGTCGATCTAAACACACTGAATCTGATAGAAGAAAAAGTGGGATGTATGCTACAACACATGGGCACAGGAGACTACTTCCTATGTATAACCCCAGTAGCACAGACAATAAGGGCAACATTGAATAAATGGGACCTCCTAAAACTGAGAAGGTTTTGTAAAGCAAAGGACACTGTCATTAAGACAAAAAGACAACCTACTGACTGGGAGAAGATCTTCACCAACCCCGCAACAGACAAAGGTCTGATTTACAAAATATATAAAGAACTCAAGAAACTAGACTTTAAAATACTAATTAACCCAATTAAAAATGGGGCACTGATCTGAACAGAGAATTCTCAACAGAAGAAGTTCAAATGGCCAAAAGACACTTCAGGTCATGCTCAACTTCCTTAGCGATCAGGGAAATGCAAATCAAAACAAGTTTGAGATAGGATTTTACATCTGTCAGAATGGCTAGAATCAAAAACACCAATGATAGCCTTTGCTAGAGAGGTTGTGGAGTAAGAGGAACACTCATCCATTGCTGGTGGGAATGCAAACTTGTGCAACCACTTTGGAAATCAGTGTGGTGGTTTCTCAGGAAATTCGGGATCAACCTACCCAGGATCTAGCAATACCACTCTTGGGAATATACCCAAGAGATGCCCTATCATATGACAAAAGCATTTGTTCAACTATGTCCATAGCAACATTATTTGTAGTAGCCAGAACCTGGAAACAACCTAGATGCCCCTCAACGGAAGAATGGATAAAGAAAGTGTGGAATATGTACGCATTAGAGTACTACTCAGCAGTAAAATCAATGACATATTGAATTTTACATGCAAGTGGATGGAAATAGAAAACACTATCCTGAGTGAGATAACCCAGACCCAAAAATATGAATATGGTATGTACTCACTCATAAGTGGATTCTAGCCATAAATAAAGGACATTGATCCTATAATATGAGATCCTAGAGAAGCTAAATAAGAAGGTGAACCCAAAGAAAAACATATAGTTATCCTCCTGGATATTGGAAGGAGACAAGATTGCCAGGCAAAAATTAGAAACTTGGGGGTGGGGATGGGGTGGGAGTAACGGGAAATGGGGAGAAAAGTGTGAGAAGTGGAGGATGGGGAGTGCTTGGGAGAATGGGATGGTTGGGATGGAGGAAGGGTAGATACGGGAGTAGGGAATTATATATCTTAATTAAGGGAGCCATTTTAGGGTTGGCAAGAGACTTGACTCTAGAGGGGTTCCCAGGCGTCCATGGAGATGTCTCCAGCTGGATCCTTGGGCAGCTGAGGAGAGGGAGCCTGAAATGGCCCTATCCTATATCCATACTGATGAATATCTTGCATATCACCATAGAACCTTCATCTGGCGATGGATAAAGCTAGAGACAGAGACCCACATTGGAACACTGGACTGAGCTCCTGAGGTCCAAATGAGGAGCAGAAGGAAGGAGAACATGAGCAAGAAAGTTAGGAGCACTAGGGGTGCTCCCACCCACTGAGACAGTGGGGCTGATCTAAGGGGAGCTCACCAAGGCCAGCTGGATGATGGACATGTAATCAAACAGGACTCCCTGAACATGGCTGACAAGGAGGGCTGACTGAGAAGCCAAGGACAACGACACTGGGTTTTGACCCTACTGCATGTAATGACTTTTTGGGAGCCTAGTCTGTTTGGATGCTCACCTTCCTGGTCCTGGATGTAGGGGAGACGACCTTGGACTTCCCACAGGGCAGGGAACCCTGACTGCTTTTTGGACTGGAGAGGGAGAGGAAGGGGGATGGGGGGAGCGGGAGGGAGATGGGAGGAAGAAAGGAGGTAGAAATTTTTAATTAAATAATAAAAAGAAAGCACCCCTTTCTCAGATGTGGGGTTGGTGAAGGTCTTTTCTTATTCTGTAGGTTATACTTTCATCTTGGTAAATGTATCCTGTCCCTTACAGATTCTTCTCAGTTTCAGGGGGTCCCATTTGCTAAAACAATCTTAGTGTCTGTGCTACTGGTGTAATATTCAGGAAATGTTCTCCTGTGCCCATGCATTTAAGGCTACTTCCCACATTCTCTTCTCTTAGATTCAGTGGAACTGGATTTATATTGAGGTCTTTGATATACTTGGACTTGAGTATCAGACATGGTGATAAATATTGATCTATTTGATTTATTCTACATGTCCATATCCAGTAATGACAGCATTATTTGTTGCAAATGTTTTCTTTTTCCATTGTATAATTTTAGCATATTTGTCAAAAATCAGATTTTCATAGGTTATGAACTAATAGCAGCACCAATTGGATTCCTTTGGTCCACCAGTTTGCTTCTGTGTGAATACCAAGCTGTTTTCATTGCTATAGCTCTATAGTCAAGTGTGAAGTCATGAATATTGTACAGAATTATTTTGGTTATCCTGGGTTTTTTTTTCTTTTTCCATATGATGTTGAGTATTTTTCTTTCAAGATCTGTGAAGAATTGTTCTGGGATTTTGATGGGAATTGCATTGAATCTGTAGATTGAAAAAGTTTGCCATTTTAAAATGTTGATCCTTACTATCTAAGAGCATGGGAGATTTTTCCATTTTCTGATGTGTTCTTCAATTTCTTTCTTCAAAGATTCAAAGTTCTTGTCATACAGATCTCCCACTTGTTTGTTAAGAGTTACGCCAAGATATTTTATGTTGTTTTTGGCTATTGTAAAAGATAATGTTTCTCTGATTTCTTTCTCAACCTATTTTTCATCTGTGTAAATGAGGGCTACTGATTCTTCTGAGTTAACTTTGTATCCCATCACATTGATGAAGGTGTTTATCAACTGTAAAAGTCCACTAGTAGAATTTTTAAAATCACATATGTATACTATCATATCTGCAAATAGTACAAGTTTGATTTCCTCCTTTCTAAATTGTATCCCTTTGATCTCCTTTTGTTGTCTCATTGTTCTAGATAGAACTTTGAGTACTATATCAAATATATATGTAGAAAGAGTGGATTGCTTTGTCTTGTTCCTGATTTTAGTGGAATCACTTTGAGTTTCTCTCCATTTAGTTTGATATTTGTCATTGGCCTGCTGTATATTGCTTTTAATCTGTTTAGGCAAGTTCTTTGTATCCCTGATCACTCCAAGACAATTATTAACAAGGGGTGTTAAATTTTGCCCGAGGTTTTTTTTGGTATCTAATGAGATAATCATGTGGTCTTTTTTTGTTTCCCCTTGTTTATATGGTGGATAACATTGACAGAATTTTGTGTGTTGAACCACCTCACATCTATAGGAGGAAGCCTATTTGATCACAGTGGAAGATTTATCTGATGTATTCTTGGATTCCGTTTGCCAATATTTTATTGAGTATTTTTGCATTAATGTTCATGAGGGAGATTGGTCTGTAATTCTCTTTCTTAATTTCATCTTTGAATGGTGTTGACATTTCATTTGTATTTTAATAAATAAAGCTTTCCTGAAGATCAGAGATAATAGCATCTCCACTGATCAGCCTTTCAGACCAGGCAGTGCCAAAACACACCATTTACCAGAAATCAGGTGGTGCATGCTTTATATACCAGTGCTACATGCCCTTAATCTCACAACTAAGGAGGATAAAATGGGAGTAGACGAGTCTCAGCCTAAATCCTTTTCTGAGATTCTTGGAGGCAAGGTCAATATTTCAGACTGAGGAAGATTTAAGAGCCAGTGGCTGGCTGCTTCACTTTTTTGTACCTTCAGGGTAACTTCCAATTTCTCTCTCTGAGTTTATAAGAGATCTGGATAAGCAAACAATGTACAATGAATACATTTTGTCCTTATGCTATACACAGCCTTGAATGCCTGGGATAAGACTCAAGAATGAGGAAATTACATCATATGTTAAGGTTATACAAAACCCAAGATAGCCCTCTAGTGACGTTTTGTAAAGATCA